GAATGACCACACAGATTTACTTGACAGAACAGCCCCTGCTTCTCTCCTTTGTGGAATGGGCCAGCCCCAAGGCATAGTGAAAGTTACTCTTTGCTTTGTTTCTCACTACTTTATGGTTTTGTTTTGTTAAGGATGGCTGGCAAGATTACAGATCCTTGAGCTTTGTGTTCTTTTATTCCCCTCCCCCCCACACACACTCACATACTTTTCCTAACTTTATAACTTTGAACTTTTGTTTGGGGCCTTATTTTGACAGAAATTATAGTTTAACTCTGTTTTCATCCAGCCTCGTGCCTGCAAAAACCATGGCCTTGCCAGTCTTCTACAGCTCTAGGTGGTGGGTCTAGATACGTGCAGACTTATGTAAGAAGGAGGGGCATTGGCTCAGTCCCAGCAGCTGTCCACCCATCCTGCTGTGCCCTGCTGCCCAGCTCAGGCTTTGCTTAAGGCACTGTTCTCCGCTCCTGGGTGACTTTCCTATTTCTAATAATGCAGACCCTTCTTATCCTTCAAGTCCTGCCACTCTCTCCTCCTCCAACAGTGTTCTTGATAAACCCAGCGAGATTCATCCCTTCCTCTCTATTCCTAGAGTGCTTTGTATTTCTATGAAATAGTTGCCATCACTTGCTTTTAGTTGCGGTCATGTGCCTCTCTGACCTGTAAACTCTAAGGTTTAAGAGGTAAGAGTCATGTTATCTTCTTCTTGGCCTATCTTGCCTTGCTGAGAATTCTGTAGCGCCAGCAGACTCCGTGTTCAAACAGTAAACATTTGCATAGTCTTTATGTCGTGCTGACCAATGCTGGGCATAGAACCTGGAGCAAACAGTCCCGCCCCAGGCTGCTTACTAGTCTGATGCTGCTCCGGTCTTTGCAGTTTTCTTCCAGTCTGTTCTCCTAAGTCTCCGTCGATTACCCTGTTAATTCATGCTCTGACAGCTCCCCTTGGAATTTCTCCTGAATAAACAGGTGGCATGTCGCACAAATTGTCTTGCTTCTGCAGCTTCTTGTAAAAGTTGTTGTACCTTCTTTCTCTCCATCATTGGCTCTAAGGAAGCCTTAAAATGGAATTGTCTGAAATGCTTTGTGTTTCAGAGAGAGGTGACCAGGTATAATGTGGTTGTCCCTGGAAGGATTATTGTCAGAGGTGATTTCTAACTCCCATGGCCTGTCTTTCCTCCTTTCACTGCAATTATTAGCAGTCCAGCCAGAGGGGGAGAAAGGATATGGAGCTCCAGTCAATTCCTCTTGCCCTGGGCTTATCTGGTCCGGTTTGGTTGGAGCTGTGGATAAGGAACTAAGCTGGTGACCTCTGGGAGTCTGGCCCATTACTTCTTTCCTCACTCTTTCCTTGAGAAAGTCTCTATACTTTTTAACTCTTATGAGCTGTGAGAAAATAAATAGCATTTACTATCCCTTAAGCCATTATCATTTTTGTGATAATCTAATGTAAGGTTTTAATTCTCTTATTTAGTTCTCTGACCACCGTTCATTTCGTCATTTAGCTTTTTAAAATATTGATATTAAATCTTGGATAGAAAATATATTATGAGACAGTCTCTTAAAATTTGATGAAGATAATAATGGTGAGGCAACCCAGACTATAGAGAAAGCCCGGAGTGTAGAAACTTGGTATGACTCCCATTTAAGCCTTTGTGTGTTCGGGGATATGCCCTTTGGTGAGTAAGGGATTACAAAGACAGAGTACTTTTGCTTGTCTTTTGGACCTTGGGACTGTATCTTCTTTCTAATGTCACTGTCCTGGCAGGAATCGTACCACCCAGGCACACCCTCCTCCTATTGAATGTAGAGTGGCCTCTCCTGGGAAAGTCTACCCTATGAGCAGATTCTACTAATCCAGGCAAGTAAGAAGTGCTTTTCCAAAACCCGATGTAGTGTGTGGCATACAACTAACAGGAGGAAAAGGGCATGAGGCCCTTGCTGGACTTGTCCTTTTAATCCCCTGCAAGTCCTGCAGCCCTCTTTAGGCTGTGATAGGATGGAGACAGAGCCTTGGTGTGGTGGACAGGAACCACATCCACGTTCTCTCTCCTTAGAGGTCCTCAGACACCCAGCTTTTTGGTATCATACCCCATCTCACAAGTCTGAGGTGAGAGGACACATATAATAAGGTATTTGAATTCTTTATGGGGTTGGGTGGAGTCTCCCACATGCCAGAAATAGCCCAGGCCATCCGAGAAGGGAAGCAGAGCATTCTGTCTTCAATCTATCTCTTTTTATGATCAGTACTCATGGGTAGAGCTTTTACAAGGCACATTTGCCCAAGAGGGAGTCTAGGGTGGTGGTGTGGTTGTTTTCTTAAAGTGTCTCATTAGATAAAGAGCTAAATTTAAACAAAAGAGATAATCAAACTAATATGCAACAGAATTAAGATAGTTTTTGTGATTTGTGTTATAATTTGTCCTTCTTCCCCAAAAAGCTTGTAAGATAAAAATCCATGTAAAATGAGAAAGAAGGAGATGACCAGCTGGAAAATGGGGAAAGGAAAGGTCTAGAAACAAGTGAATTTGGAACACTAAGGATTAGCAGCAAGAAGTCCTTGCTGATGTCAGGTGTGGACTGAGGGTGTGTCATGCATGACCCAATCCAATGTTGTGTTCTAATTTGAATTAACTGCCAAGATTTTTTTAAAAAAAAAATAGTTAAATTCATATAAAAGCCAATTTCTTCAGCTTCTTTGGGAGAGGGAGGATTCGATCTGGCCTCCCTGGTATGTTCTTCCCCATGGCCTCAGTCATGGTGAGTGCTCAGTCTCCCCAAACCTTCATTATCCTTTCCTTTTTATACCAGTTTCACACTGAAGGTATTTATACTTGTGGCCTAGACCCTGAGGGGACTTGATTGTTTAAGTGGGGTACCACCAGTTTGGCTCTAATTTTCTAGAATTCAAAAAATAAACAACAACAAAAACATGGTTTAAGTTGCAAACTTTTGCATAGTTTAGCTGGGCGTGGTGGCACAGCGCCTCCAAAAGCTGCAGCAGGGGTATTATAAATTAAGGCCAGCCTGGTAACATAGTGAGACCGTGTCTCAAAATAAAAAAATCAGAAGAGCTAGAGACGAAGCTCAGTGGTAAATGCCTTGGAGTTCAGTCTCCAGTGCTACAGATAAAATACCATGGTTCTCATCCCTGAATACAGAATAGAATCACCTGGAAAGCTTTTTATATTTAGAGACAGAGTCTCACTGAGTTGCTTAGAGCCTCACTAAGATGCTGAGATTGGCTTTGAACTAGCCATCCTCCTGCCTCAGCCTCGCAAGCCACTGGGATTGCAGGCACACTCCATCATGCCCAGCACCTGGAGAGATTTTAAAATGTCTCATATCCCAGCCCCACCCCAGGAGATTGTGATTCATGAGTGGGTGTGGAAGTCAGCATTTTTAAAAACAGTCCCAGCATTTTAGCAAAGCAGTGGGGAGAAACTTCTGGCACGAGAGTACTTGCTCTGGGAGGTTCCAGGCTTGGCGCCATCACCTTGAATAGCAGAGCTAAAGTCTGACACCTCTCTGCGCCCAGAGTCCTGCCTCTCTGTAAAATGAGGGTGTGGACTAGGAGTCCTTGGCATAGTCATAGAGCTCTATAAAAGAAAACAAATGTTCAGAGTTTCACTCCTCAAGGAGGAATGAAATCAAATGTGTCCCGTCCACTGAAGGTCTCAGGGTACAGCACTGGTTGAGATGAAAAGGACAAAGCTCTGTAAGTTCATAAGGGATATATGATGCATGCCCAGATGGGAACGAGCTGCTCTGAGACCGTGAGGGGAAAGGTGGCTGGAGAGGGGTAAGGGAAGGTTTCAGAGGGAGCTGATGTTCTGTCTGGTCCTTGCAAACTTAGAGGAGTTTTGCCTGAGAAGGTTGGGGGCTTCCTCAGAGGGGGAAGGAACAGTAGAAGCAAATCCCTGAAAAACGAGGATGCTTTTCTCCTCCCCAAGCTTCAGGACTGCCAGCTCCCTTCCGCCATCCACCTTTCTTTTCCCTCTAAGGACTACAGGAGAGAATATCCTTAGTTTATAGCCTTTGGTACGACATAGTATGAATGTAGTAGTGGAACAGCAGTAGCTTATGAGTGATATAAGTTCATCCTTTAAATGCCCAGGTGACTCTTACTAGAAGGTTATGTGACGATTACACAAGTTCATGAATGCATAAAGCACTTGCATCAGTGTGGTCTGGAAGAACTGTGCACTGTGGGTGGTTGGGGAGAATGTGGGCAGGCTGTTAGACTGAAAGCCCAGGGCATGCGTGCAGTAGGGCGAACCTGGGAGGGCGCTGTGAAATCCGTCTAAAACAAGAGGAGCACATCCAGAAGGAAGGTAAATCAGCGTATGTCGAGAGATGGGCATCCTGAGGTTTCTGCAGTGCAATCCACCCCCCCATTCACTTTTTAATTGAACTTCCAATCCTTTCTCTAGATGAGGGGGCAGGCTGTCAGGGAGATTCTTGGTACAGTCATCTTGTTTGGCTTCAGATGGGCCTGATTGTGGTCCCAAAGTTGTGGAGCCACCATCCTGGGACAAAGACTGGATGGGTGGTGCACCGTCACAGAAGCCTCCCTTCCTTCTCCCTGAGTGTTGCATTTTCTGGCCCCTCCCCCTCTATCAGCAGAACAGCCTTAAGTACCTCTTCTTCCCACAGCTCCTTTGGCTTCTTAAGGGCAGATAGGCGTGTCTTTCTCATATCAGTGAGAACCTTTGTGACTGAAGGTTTCCAGACTGAATGAGCTAGTATTTTCAGTCGTTTCCCTCCCCAGCCCTGTCATCCAAAGGAAGGACTAGACGTTCATTTTCATACAATGCCTTTTTCTGCTGGACCTCCTCCTTAGATGTGCATGGGCACACCCACAGGATCAAGCATAAGTGACCTTAGCAAGATGATCCTCTTCAGCTCCTTCACAAAATAAGCTATGTTATTACCAGAACACAGTATTTATAGTGAAAATTTAGCAGAGTGTTTTTATAGTGTCAAGAAACAATGCATTCCAGAGCTTTCCTCAGTTTAATTCTTAAGAACATATTTTTTATATTAAAATTTAGTTTTGAATATAATAACATCTATAAAATAGCTGATTTTTTTAAAAAAATAGAAGAAAATTTCTTTATTAAAAGCAAATGACAGAGAAGGGATGTACAGCTCAGCGGTAGAGCACCTGCTTGGCATGCGTGATGCCCTGGGTCCCATCTCCAGCCCTGCAAACACAAAAAGGCAAATGACTAATTTTTAGGGTGATGGCTATGTTCTATATATCAACTTTATACGTCTACTAAAATTCATCAAACTGCGCTTACAATGGATGAACTACATGGTACATAAATGAGAGCTCAAAGGGGAAAGAAAGCCTAATTCAAATCTCTTTAGTAATGGAGGTTATCCCATTGGTGGATACCGTGATTTGGAATTATTGGGACCTGATCATCAAAGTATCTGGCACTTGAAACTTTGTTCTCAGTTTGTTGTTTCTATGAATCAGTTGGTTTATTCAGGAAAAAAAAAAAAAAAAAAACCTCAAATGAGTGCTACATCTTTAAAAGTTAAGCCTTTGGAGCCCAGCTTATAGTCCTGGCCTCTAAGAGCTGAGGTGGGAGGATCAGTTGAGCCTGAGAGTTTGAGGCCAGCCTGGGCAACATGGAATAAAGACCCCTCCCCCACTTTTTAAAAGTATCTGTAGCTTCACTCAAAAAACATCTATCTCAAAGATGATCAGATATCCATCCCCTCATTGTGATCCTATAAGAAGGAGGACTAAAGAAGGTGAACGGATTAAGGTAGGGTATGTGCCGACCCCAAGATAACCCGTGACCCAGGCAGTCCAATGGGTCTTCCTAAAACACCGCCTCTCCTCACACAGCCGTCCCCGGTTGTGAATTTTTACTAAGCAGGCTATTTAGAGTTGTTGCTAATCTTTGTTGATCTCTGTCGTATTATTTAGAACTAGCTTTGCTTGTTTGCCCTGAGACGGAATTCAAGCATAACTTGTTCCATATTTACCTATGTACTTAGATGCAAGTGAAGCAGACATTTGAAAAAAAAAAAAAAAATTCCCCTTTGTGATCAATTTAAGCATTTTAGGGATATAGCATGCTTACTAACTTTTTAAAACAAACAAAAGTTTGCTCAATGATGTTATCACCCCAAAGCAGAGTGTACTTGTTTGGGAAAATAACTCTGCAGCTTTGAAAGTAACATGATCTAATTTGGGATAAAATGCTTAAGGGGATGGGGGTGGGGGTGGGGTCTGTGGTTTACATCTGGTGTTTTTAGCCTTTAGATTACATGTTGCCTCTCATGAGAATAAACCCAGGAAAGGTACTTGCCTCTAGCCCAGCTTGGGCTCAAACTTAGACTGAACCTCTCCCTTTCTCAAGCTAAGCTGTGGCTTGGCTCAAGTTATAACAGAAGCCCCTCTGAGCCTTGAAGGGCCGGAGGGAGATAGAATAAGTTATAGCAGGAAGAATGAGAAAACATCTGCTCCCTTTTTCTAAGTTCTTCCTAGAATTAGTAGGTTTATAGCTGCATTTCTAGGTCAAAATTTCATGGATCTAAAGAGGATGAGGACAGTTTGAAAAATTAGAAGGGGGCAGGGTCTGCCTTTGCTTCTTGTCATTAAGATCCTTGCTCACAGTTTGGTTCATCAGTAATTTTTGCTGTCTCACCAACGCTGAGTGTCCCGGAATTAAATCCCATGGCCAGCAGGCTGTTAGTTGGTCAGGAAATTCCAAATGGGTATAAATAAGTTCTCAGCAACAGCTCCTGGGCTCTGTGCCTGCTAATGTGTGCAGTCCCTTTAATGCTGAGGGAAGGATGCCCGAGACTTGGCTTCCTGCTTGCTGAAAATCACAGTTATTTTGTTTCTGGGTGGGTAAGTAAGAATGCCCAAAAAAGAGACACAGAGAGCATGACGTTTGGGTGGGTGTTGGTGAAATATAAAGTCAAGCTCTGTATGGTATGAAAAATATTTACTTTTATTACAGCCTGGAAAGGATAACTCAGGACTTGGTTTTCGATTCAGTGAAAATTTCAGCTTTAGCTACGGCTTTAACATAAAGATGTCATTGTTGCAAGAGTGAAAGGTTATACATACATGCTAAGACTTGAGTTTATGACTTACTTAAATTTCAGAACTTCCCTCTTTGGGTGTTAAATCCATCTTTGGTCCTTTGTTTTCAGTTTAATTTTTCTAATGGGGAGTTGCTCGGGGTCTGTTGAAGTGGGTTTCCTTTTCTTATATTAACACTGTAAAACAAAATAACAGCTGGGATTCATACTATAGTTTTTCATCACTACCACCCCCCCAAAAAAAAACTTTATTATTTTGTAAGAAAAAGTCTTTTCTATCCCAAAGTCTTAGTTTGTGCACCTTCTCTGTGTCTCACAAAATTACACTTTGAACTGGCACATTTTCTAGAACCTGTAATTTTTGAAGAAAGTTTGGAAAACAGCAGTTAGTACCCAGGCTAGTTTTTTTCTGTACATGTGAGGTGAATTTGGACAATTTTTTAAAAATAACTTTGTTTTTATGTGGTGCTGGGAATCGAACCCAATGCCTCACACTTGCTAGGCAAGCGCTCTACCACTGAGACACAGCCCCAGCCCAAATTAGGACAGTTTTTCAGCAGTAATTCTTTAAATTAGCCTCTGTGCATTAGAGAGCAGTGTGGCCTGGGCTGGTGAAAACCAGGCACTGAGGCGCTCATGGAACCCTGGCTATTCCCAGATCCATTTCAGGAGAAGAGGGCCACTGTGCAGACCCTGAGGTGGGTGCCCTCTTCTGTCACATGATTCCCTAAACCCCACTGCCTTTAGTAAGACATAGCTGTTCCCTTGCCAGGAATAGTGACCCTTCCCACTTTCTTCCCCCTCACTCTCACCTGCTACTTAGCTTCTGGCCTCTGAAGTCCTATCCAGAGTTGAACTGATGGCATGGCCAAAAGGACTCTGCACTTGGGGGCCACCTGGCCATGCCAGTTAGGAGGCAGCTAGAAAGGTTCTGTTGAATGGGACCTGCAGAGAGCAAGGCCACAGGCGCCTCTGTCTGAGCTCACCTGGCCTGACAGCAGCTGTGATCAATTTGTGTTCACCTCGTCACATGGCATGGTGTGTTTTGAAAAAATTTATGTCAAGTACAGTCAATGGTTAGTCTAGTGTAGAAGCAGCTTTGGAAACTACAGTGTCCCATTGATACCCTCATTTTATACATGCAAATTTTGTCACTGCACTGTATTGTATGACTCTGAGCCCTTGCTACCCATTGCTTGTCTGAGAGCTAGGAAACATTTATAACTCCTGTTCTTGTCCTATAAAAAGAAAATTATACCTTTCCACACTTGGGCCTTTCTGGATGCCTGCCACGGAAGTACACTGGGTGGTTCTCGAGTACTGTTTCTGCACAGTGTTCAGGTGTCCTCTGCTCTGAGGATTTGTTCGGGGCAGCAGAATGAAGGTGCTCAGAACCATCAGTGTGAACCTTTGTCGTCTTAAACATTTTAACATACTTTTAAGAATTGGGGGTGTTTGTCCACTTTTGCTTCATTTTTTTTTCTTTCCTGTGTATAATTAATGCTGGATTAGGGCTCCCTGTGCAAACCACTACCCTCCCCAGCCCTCACGTGAGCATGCACATCCCCTGCCAGGTCCCCACCAGCATCTTCCTCATCCATTCTATGAAGCAGAAACCAATGTAGACCTCAAAACTTTAGCAGACTCACTTGATTTTGAAGGTATCACAGATACCTCAAACCCTGACTTCATGGGAGTCGGGGCAGAGTATAAGGGAGGAATCCTAGGTCATTGATGGGGTGCCAGGGCTGTGTCCTTCCCCAGGTAAATGGAGGAATCCAGTTAAAGTAGTACAGACCCCAGGTATCACTCCACATGCCCACATCAACAAGAGGACACAGGTGCTATTATTTTCCCAGTTAAACAGTTGGGATATAATCTATCTTGCCAATTGCTAGGAAGTGGCATGGGCAGTCTGGCCCCAGAGTGCCTACTTCTGATCACTGTTCTTCCACCATACTTATTTATCAGTAAGTCCAGAGATGTGAGGGTTTTGTTTTGTTTTGTTTTGTTTTGTTTTTAATTCTGAATTTTAAGCATGCTATGTGCCAAGTACCATGCAAGGCACTAAGGGTTACAAAAATAAATACTGCTTGGTTTCTTCCTCCCCCAAACACAGTCTGATGGGGAGGATGACCTTGTGCCTGCTAACCATGACACAGGTCATTGCATATGATCAACATATTTTAGGAGAATGGAGGGAAGAAGGTAACCAGGTCTTTATAGGACAGAGTCCCTGGGGGGTAAGAGAGGCTTTGATTGAGTTTTGATGGTTGGGAGAGTCTGGGGAAGGGTGTGCTGGGCTGAGGGACTGAATGGGCAAAGACAGGGCGAGGCGAGAGTTGCTTGGTATGTGAGGTTCAGGGAGGTGAGGAACCTGGGAGACGCTGGTTTGGGGTTATATTGCTGTAGACTTAATGGAGCTTTTAGACTTTTTTCTTTCTTTCTTTTTTTTAATAATGGGGCTCTGAGCATGTCAATCCACAAGATTAATTTAGAAGCCATACAAGTTGCCAAAGAGATCTCAAACAAAGGTAAAATTCCTCCAGGAATATGTAACACCAGGGAGCAAGGACATCTGACCTGAAAACGGGCTGCTTAATCTGCAGTATGAGCAGAAGCAGAGTCTTGGCTGTGATCCCTGGGGACTGGATGGCACACCCTAAATAATGAAGCAAAGGGAAGGGAGGGAGGATTAAAATTTATTTTTAAGTAATTTAAGCTTACAGAAAATTTATAAAATAACTCTTACCCCTTCCTCGCCCGATCAGATTCCCCAATGGTTGATATTTTACCATACTTGCTCTCTTTCTGTGTGGAGTGTGGTATTGCAAAGAGACTACTGTCTTACCTCTTTAGTCTCCTTCAGTCTGAAACATTTTGGTTTCTTTTCTTTCATGATTTGGACGATTTTAAAAAGAGCCCTGTTACTGTTTCAAATGGGATCTGTGCTGCGTCTTTCTTTCTTTTCAATTATTTTTAGTTGTACATGTCAATAGAATGTATTTTTGGCCAACTATACATACATAGAGTATAACTTACTCTAATTAGGATCCTATTCTCATGTTTGTACACGATGTGGAGTTACCCTGGTGGTATATTCAAGTACAAGGCTAGGAAAGTTACATCCAATTAATTCTACTGTCCTTCCTATTCTTGTCCTTCCTCTCTTCCCTTCATTCCCCTTTGTCTACTCCAATGGACTTCTATTCTTCCCCTCCTCACCCTTCCTTGTTTTGTGTTAACATCCACATATCAGAGAAAACATTTGGCCTTTGTTTTTTGGGGATTGGTTTATTTCACTTAGCATGATATTCTCCATTCACTGGCAAATGCCATAATTTTATTCTTCTTTATAGCCTAGTAATATTCCATTGTGTATACATACCACATTTTCTTTATCTATTCATCCACTGAAGGATGCCTAGGTTGGTTCAATAGCGTGACTGTCGTGAGTTGTGCTGCTATAAACATTGTCCATCACTGTTTCTAGACTCAGTTTACACATTCTTGGCAGGATGCTGCAGAACTGATGTGCAGCTGGTATATTTCAGAGGGTCATGTTGTCAACTTGAGCACCTGGTCCAGGTGGTTGCCTGTCAGCTTTTTCATGGTTTTTCCCTTTTGGGTTGATCTCTATTTAGTGGTGAGGTGTTCTGAGGCCACAGGAGTCTCCTTGTCTTTGGTAGGAAACAGTTTATCCACTAGCCTTAGCATCTGTTGATGATTGCTGCCTGAATCGGCCACTGCGATGGTGTTTTCCACAGGGCGATTTAATGTTTCTATGATTCCTTCTGTTTATTAGACGGCACTCTCTGTGTTTGTTTATTATGGCATTATGAACTTGCAGATACCTAGTTTAGAATTTCTGAGCCAAGCAGACTCCTGACATGATTTGAAAGAGTTAATCTGATGTGTGTTGATGAGGATAGTAATTTGGGGCAGTGGGTGTTAACTCTGTTGGAGCCCTAGAAGTTGTGTGTACTTTGGGCAGTATGAGTCACTGCCAGCAAGATCCTTGTCCGACAGGCAGATAATAACATCTAAGTGACTCTAGAGACAAGCAGACCCAAAATTCAACTTGCAAAGACCATCTACCAGGAATTTTGAATTTGGGGAGTGTATTGCTTAAGTGCCCCCAGGCCCCAACCATGGCTTTTGGCTTTTCCTGGCAGCTAAGTCAGGCTCCCTGAGCAGGCACAAGTGAAGAAGCCTATGAAAGGTTGGAAACCTCACTGCCCTCTGTCTCCCTGCTCCAGACACTTGGCCTCTGCCGTTTCTATCTTAGAGTCCCCAAATACAGAGCACCCCACAGTCTGCATTCCATGTCTCGGCATGCTAAATCAGTTCCTTAAATGTCCTCTCTGCTTTCTACCCGACATCATTCATGCCACATCTGTCCTTCCCAGATTAGATTTATCAGACTTTAATGACCCTCAGAAAAGGAAATCCCATCATTTTTCTCTGCAATGAGTCATCCATTTGTTAAAGAAAAATATTTTCTTTTTAAATAGCAGCATGAGCTAACGGGTAAAACTCTCAAGGACAAATCCAGAGCCCTGATCCTGGTCTCCAGTTCAGCCCAAAGTAGCTGAAGTTTATCAGGCCTTCTCGGTTTCCTTCTCAACATTTTGGGGTGAGGAGGGGAGTATTACACAAGCCAGCTAGCTCCAACACAGGCAGGATTGAAGTTCAGATGGTTTAATACCGTAGCCCACACTTGGTATCTATCTAGTGACATCGAGAGAAAAGTTCACGGAAACAATTCATGGAGAACCTAATGGAGAATGTGGAAGAAATTTTTCATGCATACTCCAGCATGTATCCAGAGCAGTCTTATTAAAATGCAGATCTGATCATTTCACTCCCTTGTTGAAAACATTTCAATAGGGTCTCAATGCACTTAAAACCCCTATAGCACTTGGCTGTATTCCCTTCTCTGCCTCACTTTAGGTCTTACCAAGTCCCCCTTTCTGTTCCTAAAAGTGGCAGGTTTCACATATGCTGTTTCCCTGCCATCCGCCACATACTCCGGCTGCCTGGTGAACCCCTCAGATCTGGCTCTGGCAGATCACTCCCAGCCCACTGCCCCAGGGGTGGGGGACCCTTCTGGGTCCTGACAGCATGACTGTACTGTACGGTTTTATTTATTTGTGCCACTATTTGTCTTCTCCTGTGGTCTTAAGTTCCACCTGGATGGGCTCGATATCTTTTTGCTTGGACTAAAAACAACTTTTTGCTTAGTTCCTTGTAGTGTTTGCCACCTGATAGGTTCTTAGTAAATATTTACTGAGTGAAATCTGTCTTTCAGTATGACAGTCACATCTTCCTTGGATCAGCATTCCCTTTATAAAGTGTAGTACTATTCCCAGTAAGCTTGGAATGTGGAACTAGTGTGGAGACAGACAGGTAGTGATAGGAGACAGTGGAAGACATGCGAATTGTCCGCAGGCAGGTTAAAAAGGCAGTAATGAGATGGCATGGGAGAAGACATCTTAAGATTTAGGAGAAAAGCCAAAAGGAGTTACAAAGAGTTATGACTATTTAGAAGCACCCCGTTATACCTTTGCAATACAGATAAACCAAGCCCATAAAATTGCACTTAGCTATATATGGCATGATTGGCTTAGTACTTCTTATGCACAGCTTTGCTTTCTTTAATGTTACTTTATTTGTATGATGTATTCAGGTAGCTATTCAGGCAGCTCTAAGATATTGGTGAACTTGAAATAGGCAGTATGATCTCCGTGAGAAGAGTGATCACACCTTCTTGAACAGTGCCTAACACTCTGTGGGTGCCCATCTTTCAGATGGATGAATGGATGGATGGTGTTTATCTGGGGGTGGGGGAGCAGGTTTAAGAATAATTCTTTGGGGCTGGGGATATGGCTCAAGAGGTAACACGCTTGACTGGCATGCACGGGGCTCTGGGTTCGATCCTCAGCACCACATAAAATAAAATAAAGACGTGTCCACCGAAAACTGAAAAATAAATATTAAAAAATTCTCTCTCTCTCCTCTCTCTCCTCTCTCTCCTCTCTCTCCTCTCTCTCTCCCCTCCCTCCCTCCCCCCCCTCTCTCTCTCAAAAAAAAAAATAACCTTTGGTACATGCAAAAGCAAAGGAAAATCTCACCTGCCGTACATCCTTTTACTACAGAACAAGAAAACTCAGTTACCAGCCTCTTGTTGAAAACATTGCAGTAGGGTCTCAATGCACTTAAAAACCAAAAGGTGACTTTTTTGCTGGTTCTCTAAGACCAGTGTTCTTCACACAGTTTTGGTGCAGGGAGTGAAGCTCCTTGGGTACAAAAGAGCTTAATGCTCTTTTTTTAATTTAACAGTATCACCAGGGCACGCTTAACTGCTAAACCTGCTCATAAGGATGACATTCCGCTGTGCTGTCTTTTTGCCACTGCATCCTTCCTGGAGAAGTCGATCTGCGAACTCATTTACTTTCATACTCTGAGCAATTAGACTCGTGAGAGCTTGCCTGTCTCTGGGGTTCATCCTGCCAGGTTTCTTCCCTGCCTGCAGGCCCTCGCTGACGCAAGGCTTTGTGCCTGCCTCCAACAGCAGAACGCTTTTGCTTGCGCTCTGCCACTTCTAGATGTGGGAATCTCTCATAATTAAGTGCTCCTCTGGGACTGACTCAGCTCTCTGGGCCGAATTTCCTCGCTTCCTGTGAGGGGGGACACTGCATGACTAGCAATTAACAGAGTTCTTCAGTTTCAACAGTCAGGGAGAATATCTGGTAAAGACAGTCACATACACAGCGAATGCAGGTTTTGGTACACAGGTGTAATTATTCTCTGTGATGTCATTATTTGGTGATTGGGCCTATAGTGTGCCATAGTGAAACCAGAACAAAGAACTTGGTATATCCTAATTAATGAATAAAGTAATGATATCAAAGGCATGTCCATTAAAAATCTACCAGGACACATCATTTCAGAACCCTCCAGACTCTTTGTTCATATTAAAACACAGCTCACTATATAGAGTTGTGGAAAAGTACTGAGTACAGTACTGAGTACTGTCTTACTCGAGTAGTATTTTGGGGGCTGGGTTGTGGCTCAGTAGTAGAGGACTCACCTAGCAAGTGTGAGGCCCTGGGTTCTATCCTCAGCACCACATAAAAATAAATAAAATAAAGGTATCATGTCCAACTACAGCTAAAACATAAATATATTTTTTTAAAGTGGCATTTTGCCACGCTGTCATTTACACATAGTGTTATGGTCTTATTAGGAAACAGAAGGTCTAAAAGCCACAGTTTATGAGGCCACAGTCTCCGTGGCTAACTGTGAGTTTTTCCTCAGGTTGCTGTCCCCAGCACAGGCCTCCTCAGCCTCAGCACTGTTGACATTTTGTGCTGGATAACTCTTTACTGGGAAAGGGAGGGACAGGTGGGCCCATGTGATATTTGTCAATGTCTGCAATTGTTTTGGGTTGTCATTGCTGGGGGCAAAGGGTGCTATTGGCATCTAGTGAGTAGAGGCCAGGTGCTGCTAAACATCCTACAGGACAGTCCCTCCATTCCTCCAACAGGGAATGATCTTTACTTACCTGGTCTTCAGAAGCCAATTCCTGGTTAGCTCCCTTCTGTTTGGTCATTTATTCACATACCATCATATTGTCCTGTTGATCATAAGTCTTTGGGACTGATCTCCATTCAGGTTATATTGGCGTTTACTACCCTGCTAGACTGTATCTCATTTCTTATAAATTCTTCCTCCTACTCTTTTCACTAAATGGAACCTTTCTCCACTCCCTGTTAAACTTCCATTAAATGCTATATAAAGCAGGTAGCAGTGGGGCCTGGAGGGGTCTCCACTGAATTTCCAGACATCCTGAGAATTCTCACAAACTTCAGAGGCTGTTACTTCCAGGACTTCAGTTGCAGATATATAGCCAGTGAGTTTTTGGCTGTGTAAAGCAGTCATAGTTTCCTTAGTCCAAAAAGTCTTTTTAGGCTATTAAGAATCTCCTCATAATCCAATTAAAGATTTGTTAAAAACCAAATTTTTGCTGTAAAAAAAGGTTCATTGTAATATCTCCCCAGTTTATCATTTATCGTTTTCTTTTTGAAATACAGTGTTAAATTGGTGGGAGACACTGCTATATCATGTTAAAATTCAGTGTCATTCCAAGTAATCAAAACCTAGTTAAGCAATAGCTAAACAAAATAAATTCATTTCTCTTTCACATTGAAGTACAGAGGTGAGCTCTTTAAGGTCAATGTCCATAAAGCCTTTTGAGATTAAGTTCCATCTAGCACATTGTTCCTCCAACCCTTGGTGTATTTTCATAGTCCAAGATTGCAGCTAGCATTCCAGTCATCATATCTACATTCCAGTAGCAGGATGGAAGGAGGAACAAAGAAGAAAGGTGATCAAAGAACTATTCCCATGTCTTCACTGGAGGTTCCTAGGCATTGCTACATGGCGTTTCTGCTCGTGGCTGTACTAACAGTAAAGGAGGTCTGGGAAATATAGACTTTATATTTTCCCATATAAATAACAGGGGGTGCTTTTAGTATGGAAGGATAGGAAAATGCATATACCAAGGAATACTAACTATCTTTGCTTATATTCATGTCCCTCCCACTTGAACTTTCTCAGAGTTTATTTCAATACATTTCCTTTTGCTTTACCAACAGTGACTTCTTGTAATCATCTTTAAAGACAAATACCCAAGTGATGTAAAAATCCACAAAATACAAAGAACAAAATGAAAATCACCTATAATTCCACAGCCTAAAAACAACCACTGGAACAGCATCATGTAAGAAAGGTCTTTAACCCTAACATTTAACAAACAATTATCTTCAGAGCATTGATATTTTTCAAAGTTTATTATGTTATATATTCAATTATTTATTCTGTTGGTAAGTATTTTTAAACATCTGCTTTAATCCCAACATCTTGCTAATTACCGTGTGGTTGGAAGAGGGGAGCAATGAAGGTTATTTTAAATTATATTTGTTAAGGCTGGGAATGTAGCTCAGTGGTAGTGCACTTGCCTAACATGCACAAAGCCCTGGGTTAAATCCCCAATTGCTGGGAGGAAGGGATTGCATTTATTCTTCAGATGTTCCGTTTGACCCAGAGACACATAAATACATCAAAAAATCAGGAAATAAGTCAGGTCCCATAAGTGCCACGTTGATGTTAATGTATATAAAGATACCCTGAAAGGAGATTTAAAAAAAAAAAATGACACTGAATATTTTAATGTAATTGTAGAACACTTGGTACCACAGACAGTTGTTATACAAAAGGCACCTTGAGAATACATCTCACTTTTTTAGTTGCTGGAAAATGAAACACGAATTACAAGGCCCTTGGGTAGCCCAGGTTAAGTAGTGTTGGGAAACAGTCAGACCTAACATGGTTAAATTCTAACCTCTCCTGATTTCCAGAGGTAGAAGTCCAAAATTCACTTAGTAATGATTTGGCATGACCCAGGGCCTTTGGTGATTTGTACAAGTTGAAATTCAAAAATAACTAAGATGGGCCAGTTAATTTTTGCTGAAAAGTGTCATTTGTTTTGTTGTGTTCTAAATCCTGAAATTGAGTCAGCTTACCTTTCTGTTAAAGCTTCAGCGAGAAAAATAGCTGCGTTCAGACCTATGCAGAAAAGCCTTGAAGCAGTTTTACCAAAATATCCACACTTGAGATAAGGGTGACTTTCCTTTCTTCTTGAAAACACCTGAGATACGAGTGAATTAATTTCTTTTTCTTTCTTTCTTTCTTTCTTTCTTTCTTTCTTTCTTTCTTTCTTTCTTTCTTTCTTTCTTTCTTTCTTTCTTTCTTTCTTTCTTTTTCTTGAAATGATCTGTGTACGGCTTTTTTCCTTTTTTTTTCATACCTCTTTTGTAACTGGAAATGGATTTTGTTGGTTTGGGTGCTGGGGATTGAACCCAGGCTTTTGAACTGCTAAGGATGCATTCTACCACTGAGAATACACCCCCAGCCTAAGAAAATGTTTTGTTTTTAATTTTCTTTAAAGAAGCTTTCAGCAGTGGCAGGGCCCCCGCTGAGATCTGTGTTAAAGGGTAGTGGCTTGTCACTTGCCAGGAGCTGTGCTGAGGTGGTCCTGTAGTGCTCTGGGCCCAGCGCGCCCAGGCTGACTGCCGCGCGGAGAACAGTGGCCGGAGAACAGTGGCCGATTGTGGCCCTGCCCTCCTTCAGGTGACTGAGGGCCCAGGCCGCTAGGTTTGCACTCGGGAACACAGGCTCTTTCATGAAGAAGTGGCTGGCACGGGAAAGACAGAGCCACTCTGTGGGGATGCTTACATTGCCGCCTTTATTTGTACTCCTGGCAAAACTGGAATGAAGTCCACACGTTTTCAGAAGATGCCGGTTTCCTGTTTTCATTAAGAAAAACAGGGAATGCCGAACAGCTGAGTGTGCTGGGGGTGGTGTCGCCGAAGCCGGAGGGAGACTTCATTGGTGAAAACCCGGCCTATGGTATTGCGCGTGGCAGGTCTAAGTGGCTTTTCCTTATGGGGAGAGGAACCGGGGCGTCTTGTGTGCTGGCCGGGAGCGAGCCGGCTGCTGTGCGGCTGCGGGGCGCTTGGTAAGGTGAGTGCGCGGGAGGCTGAGAGCCGCCTGCTGGGGCCCGGGTCGAGTGGCAGCTCGCCTGTGCTGTCCCCGGGAGATCTGTCTGCCGGCTCCTTTGACACCCGAGCCTGCCCTTTCTCTTTGCTTACAAAATTTCAGACAGCTCTGAAAACAGGTCTGGCCACATATTTTGGGTGGTGAACACTTTGTTCATCTGGAGTTGAAAGTTAGAGAGGGAAGC